GTGTTACGTTTTGTGGGTGTTGTTTGTCTTAAGGAGGATAGCTCCACAAACCTTCCTGTCCGGTTTGTTGAAATAAATTCTAGGAATCACTGGAATTCATGAAATTCATGAAATGGTGGACACCGAGTGGATTCAAGCAATAGTAACTGTAGGGAGAGGATGGATGTTGTATTTAAGAGCAGCGCCTTGAAAACCGCACATGTATACTTAATGCATTTAAAAATTAGGCGCTAAGTCTCTCCTGTTTTCTTAACCCTAATCTAAGAAAAGCAATAATTACACCTATAAATAGCAGTCTATATATTCACTAAACAAACAACGCAGTTCTCTTTCTATTCTTAGATACAAACAGATTCTTATCTCTTTCATCCTTAGTCTTTCCAGGTAAACAGAAAGGAATCTCAAAGAGGGAGTGAAGTGGATTGTTAATTAAGTATTCAATGATAAGAAGTTCAGTAAAGGCTGTCTTATAGTTTGTGTCTTTCCCAAAGCAGCATGGAAACAATAGCATTATAGGATATAGAAATTAAGAAGAAAGCAAGTACTTTACTTTATCTTCTAAGTCCTATGAGGAAATTTTGATACTCCCCAACCAAAAAGTTTTTGAGTCCCAAGAAACCCATAAAAAGTTGAGAATACTGTTCTTCAAAAAATGGAACTCATATGAACACTGTCAAGAAAGCCAAGAACCTCTGATGAGATAAGTTGTGGGCCCTAGAAAAGAGCCTACTATTTTTTTTCTGCTTGATGTATATAGCATTAAAACAATTCCTGATGATTTATAACTATACCCATATGTTAGTGCATTGATCAGCCCTCATTAGAGAACCTTCCCTTCCCCCAAGTGGGCAACAATTAATGAAGAGAGCCACAACTGGACAGTTTGCAAAGAATAAGAGACTTTGAATGTTCACACATAAATAAGATATCTATATCACACCACACCCTTAATGCTCAGGGATCTACGTAAAAGACAGGGTACAAAGAACAATGTTTTCTAGACACAAAAGGGTAAATGCACATATGAACTCAGAGAGATTGTGACAGCATGCACAAGGCCTGTGCAAATTCAAGCCAGACAGAATCCCAGCTTGGAGGAGGGGAGAGAGATAGCATTCCCACCCCTATCTCAATAACTGTTCACATTTGGTAGCTGTTGGGAGAAGGAAGGTCAGCTTTGATTAGCAGTGAGACAAGAGGTATATGGCCCACACTCCAGGGCAGGCCACATGCCTAGAAGGAATTAGACTAAATGAGTTTCAAAAACAGAGAGATGGGGTGGCAGGGCTGAGGGTAGGTGGGTGATGAGGTGGGTAGGACGAGGGAGGAGTTGGGGAAGGAATGAATATAAGCAAAATACATTGTATCAAATTCTCAAAGAATCAATAAAGACACCATTTTTAAAACATGGAAGATAGCAAGTGGGAAAGATGGCATAACGGTGTGGAGGTACCTGCCACCTAACTCACCACTGATAATTGCTAATAAATTTTGTTATGCATATTTTACCACAAAAATATGCCTACCAGACGTTATTAGTCTAGCCCATCTTAAATGTGCTCAGAGTTCTTCCATTACAGTACTATGGAAAAACTAATCTGATGACAAGCCTATTTGAAAATGAAGCAGTATCTCCAGTAGTGTATTAAGTAACGTTCCAAAAGTAAAAGCCAAATGGTTGCAAGATTATAGTCTGTTTTACAGTTGAAAACTGCAAGTAAAAGCTCAAGTTGAGGGAAGACCTTTAAACTTGTTTGTTTGTTTGTTTGTTTGTTTGGCTTGAATTGTTTTGTTTTTTTGCCTAATTGGCAAATGCTTATACTCATATGAAAAAGAACCTTAACTGAGAGACTGTTGATGGGCAAGTCTCTGGGGCTGTTTTCTTGATTAATGATTCATGGGCACTGTGGACAGTGCCATCCTTTGGCAGGTAGTCTAGGTTTATATATAGAAGCAGGCTGAAGCTTTGGACAAAAAAATCAGCAAACAGCATTCTTTCATGGCATCTGCTCAGTTCCTCTTTTCACATTCCAACCCTGACTTTCCTTCACAGTGCTAAATGATGGAGCATGGGAGATGAATAAACTCTTCCTGTCCAAGTTGATTTTGGTTTTGTTGTTTTCTCATAGCAACAGAAAGCAAACCAAGATTGTAATTTTCATCATTATTGTCTATTTGATTATTAAGACATGATATTGTGTGTGTGTACATACGTTTGTGTGAAAAGAGAGAGAGAATTATAGAGAATTAATAACAACAAAAAAAATCGAACCAAGTTTTAAAAGGAAGACCATTGTGAAAGCTGGGGAGTTTTAAGAGAGCATAGGTATTAATTAACCACTAAAACCATCAAGGGGACTCAATGAACGCATAGAAAAAGAGAAAACTAACTTTGATGTTTGGAAATATCCTTTTTACTCAGGGACATTGCTGGTCTATAAAAATGCTGCTTAGTCTGCTCCTTTATCTCTCCTTGTCAGTAGCTGTTGTGTTCAGATTTGAGTCTGGCTGACAAAGGAACAGGATTAGAGAGTTCATAGCTTTTAGCACCCAATCCTCTTCCTTTCTAGAAAGAGGAAATAGTTCTGTCTTTGATGCGTAAACTGAATGTTCAGAAAACAAGGATGGAATCTGAGGAATATTTTCCGGTAGCCTGGCAGTGATCTAATCCCAGCTTCAGTTTCATTCCTTTCAATTTAATAACTGTGTTTAGAAGAACCAGGAGTGATTGGCAGAGCATGTGATTAATGACCTCCAGAATTGCAAGGTTCCTGAAGTGAACTGGAGAGAAAGCCCTTTTGGCATGGGCAGCTAATGGGATCTTTCAGTATTTGGGGAACAGGGTGTTCTCCCCTCCTGGGAGTGGAGGCTCTGGCTGTCAGTGAGGAGCACTTTGCCAGAAGGGAGGAATCCGCCTCTTCATGTTTCCTCATAGCAGAGATTCCTCAAGGAGACACTCACTGTTGGCTCCTTTGTCCCTCCCCGGCTCGGCTCTACATCCTCCCCTGGGAATAGTATTCATCTGGTCTGGTGTCGGGCTCACCAGAGCATTTTACACAGTCACTGATTCAATTGTACTAACTTGCTTACCAGCAGACACAGAAGGTTTCATGTGGTCTGACTGGGCAGGTACAAGAGAAAATATATTAGTATGTGTCCATCAATATGTAAAATGATTTGACAGGAACAAGGATGCTTATGAACACAATTATGAAAAGAAAACGAGGCTTTTGATTTTAACTTCCCTTTGGAATGCAGATGCTCAGTTAACTTGTAACTGTTGTTGAGGTCCAGGTTCTAGCGAGTTGACTTTAATAACGTAGGCTTTTGACAACATACGTTATTATGCTGCTGGGAGATCAGCTACCACTGGCTGCAAAGTTCACCGTGTATTCTTGGTATTGTTAAACACAATACAGTTCTATGAACACAGCACAATATACTCGTATCGTTCGGACCGTACAACAAGTGGACGGTGTGTGCCTATTTACTCGGCTTTGCATGTTAGGAAACAGTCTCAGAGGAACGAAGCCACTGCCCAAGGCAGCAGAGCAATTGGTGAGTCAAGTTTTGGACTCGGAGAGATCTTGTTCCAAAACTGGTGCGTTTCCATTACGCCGTAGTCACACCGACAGGACTAGAAACAGGCCGCCTGACTCCCTACCCTGTTTTCCTGGGTTTTCTAACTCGCGGAGGTTATACGGAGACCTTGCTCTCAGGGTCACTGCTCTTGCTGAACACCGGAAATGTGATAAAACTACTACAAAGTTAGCCGGCAATGGTTGTTTTCTAAGTAATGAATTATTTCATGAGAGAAAAATGGAGAAAAATCTGACTTCAGATTTTGATAGTGCCGATATTATAAAAAGGTCTTTGATTTCAGGATCCCTTTTTTTTTCTATTAGGTATGGACCCTGAGAATTTCTAAAACCAAAATATTTGGTTCTGGCTTCAGTTACTTTTTTAAATGTCTTTTAGCTAGGAGACCTAAGCCCACTGTGAAAGACGTACATAACGTACTACTTGTAGAATACAGCAAACAAGCAAACAAACAAAAACATCCTAGAAAAAAAAATCATATTTCATACATTTCTAATATTTAATAACTTACTATTTTTCCTTGCAGAAAGGTTGAGCAATAAAAGAATAAATTTAATTTAGCAGAGACAGTGTAATTTGGATATTATGGGCTATGGAAAGTTCAATCTTGAATCTCAAATGTTTAGGAGGAGTGTGGTATTTGGTCAGGATAAAACATTCTTTTGACTGAGATGTATTTTCGTGGGTCTGGGTAAGGATGAAGTTCAGCATCTCTCAGATGTTAGGCTAGTGCTTCAGCACTGGACCACATCTGCAACCCTATGGTAAGTCTTTATAAGTAGTTATGGAGAAGACATTTTCACAAAGTTCCTGCTCTCACCCATAAATGTGCAGTGAAAAGAATGCCAACTCTGTAGTCACTGTGTGGGAAGGAAATCATACACTTCAGAATATCTATGGGTGGAATTAGTGGGAACCCCAGGTTCTCTCATTATACACAATGTTTTCCAGAGGAAATCTACATTTTTTTTTCTGATGGGCAAGACAACCAATCTGCCTACTTTTCCCTTCTCCTCTCACTTCTGAAGGGAGGTCAGTTAGAGAGAGGCAGGTCTAACTAGGAGATAGCATAGCTAGTATCACAGAGGAGCTCACACAGGATAGAAATGATCAACGTTAGGCAGGGTCCTCTCTTTAGCCTTCTGGGGATGGGTATCACGAAGATAGATCATTGTTTTACAAGTAGACATTATTGCTTAAACCTGATGGCTGGTCAGGATAGCAAGAGATGGAAACTCAAATGGTGTCGTCTAAGGAGTCTAGTGTGAGCCTGAACAACTGGTTCTGCGTGTGTGTCACCAGCACATATAAAAGTGAGCTGTGCCTCACGAGTTCAGTCTTAAAGCACCAGCTGAGCAATGCTCAGAGCAGACCTGTAACCGACTTACATCATCTTCAGCATGAAGATAGCCACGGTGGTGCCAATGCTTCTGACCCTGGCTCTCTATCTCACACAAGGTGAGCAATTTGCATACAACTCAAGTTTCTTGCCTCACATCTCAGAGCCTGGGAGACTTGTCTCACCCAACTCCACTTAGAAAATGTGTGTGTGTGTGTGTGTGTGTGTGTGTGTGTGTGTGTATCTTGAACCATCTTTAAAAACAGGAAGGGCTTGGAGAACAATTGAGCTTTTATTTTTAAGAGGCCCTCTTGATAATTTTATACTAATTCTGTAAAGTCAATAGATTAGTCTGTATCGTCCTTCACTAAGCGTCCAGTTTTTCCTACTTATAAGACGCCTAAAACTGGCCGGTATTTAATACATGTGTTTTGATATTATATGTACAAATGACTAGTAAAATAAATTAATATAGTATAAAATAAATTATATTGACTGTTCCTGCTTTAAAACAATATTGCCTTATATATAATTTTATCTTAAAATTCTTAAATATCTAAAATATCTTAAAAATGAATTTAAAACATTATTCCTGAAGGATAAAGTACTTTTGTGAGAACTAGAAAATAAATTTTCTAATTTGTGTTTGACTGCTAAGGCCACATGGGCTACAAAAATGTACCTTTCTCTGACAAGTGTATTTTAAAGCACAAAACCTCAGATATAAAGCTCTTGAGATCATTGTACACAAATGATGTCTAGTTGCCTAAAATAAATATGTAGTTAGAAATGTAGGTATTAGAGAGAAATTCAATGAGAGTACAATAGCCTGTGACTTTAATTAATCTTAATTTCAGACAGATCTCTGGTATTTGCATCTGTAATGAGGAAGTAGAGTCATCAGAATTCAGAAAATGAAATTATATATATGTACATATAGAGACATAAAATTTCAGCTTCATATTTCAGTGTTTTAAGTTATATTCAATTAGCATGATGTATTTGGCATATGCACTATGCTATCATCTATCAAGGGACAATGACATGTTTTATTTTGCGATGAGTTTTTGGGGAGGTAGATGGTCTGGTAGGGGTAGAAACCATGTTAGTATTATTTCAAAAAGTAAATTCAACTTCCTAAGTGATTAGGCCTTTGTGACCATCTCCTGGTACACTGCTTTCACTTGATTTGCCACCATAAATCTTAATACATTCATGATAATTTGTGGTTTTAAAATACATTGTCAGTAAAGCAATAAGTTCCCTTCATGAAGTGAATCATGTCTAATTTATTATATAGTTTACTTTCTCGTAACTTTGGTTTTTGCATTTCTGTCCCAGATGCCGCCAGTGGGAAAGAAAATCAGGTCAGTCTTGATTCTTCTCATTGAACTCATTCCAAGTTCCCTAAAGAAAAGTGATTTGTGGCCAACACCTTCGTGTTAATAACACAGAGAGCATACTGACAGGCACTAATAGCTTCTGTTAAAAACAGAGAAGCAAGTCCTTATCAAATATAATTGTTTCTCTCTATGTCTCTCTCCGTCTTTCCCTCTTTTTCTCTCAACATTGCTGAAATAGTGCCTTAAACCACCATAGAGAAATATAAAATCAACTACGCTAATCAAAATTACTATTGCTCCACTAAGCAGCTAAAAGCCAGGATACAACATAATATTTTCTGGTGATTGTCATACAAAGAAAGAGCTGCCTGTAGACAGTCCATAGTCAACGCACACACATGCAGACATGTGCATGCACAATTAAATAAATGTTTATTTAATAGCAATTATATTTCTAACCTTCTGAAGTGCCAGACCATTCTAAAGTAAACAAAAAGATATCAACTCGTAGCGCTCTGAAACGTTAGTTTTTGCAGCAGTAAGCAAAGGAATTAATAGATAAATTTCATAACTATATGGCACATTAATAATAGTGCTAAGAAGAAAAAGAGTAATATGCAGAATATTGCAGGAACTAAAGGTTGTCTCCACTTCTAAATGGGATAAACACACAAGAGTTTTCTCTATGAGAAAGCATGGGAAGAAGGATCAAAAACCAAGGGAGATCTTGATACTTTGTAGCAGCTCATGTAGAAGCAACTGTGAGGGCTGAGCCCTAGATGCAGGATGGTATTCAGCTAACTGTGATAGGCCAGGTATTGAGAAAAAAAATCTTCTTGTATAGAAACACATTTTATATCTGCTTGGAAGATAATTGCAAAGGCCATGTCTTTGTCGTGTACACATTTTATTTTATCCACAAGCCCTCTGCATTCCACTACTGTGTCGTTTAAATCAATATTGCATGTGTTGAAAATTTGATACATTTCTCAAAGGCCATGAACATTAAATAAATGAATAAATGAAGCAGCTTTTTTACACCAAACTTCTTTAAAATATGATTAAAGTATTTTCTTATTGTATCTTACTGTAACTGTTTTTCTAAAGAAATATTGTTATATAAATATTACAGAGTATTTTGCTGTGTCCTGTACTATTTGACCCAATTCTGGCTAATAAATGAGAATTCAAGAGAATATGGTAGCATCTGAATTTTAGAGAACTGGACACATGATGAAATCCCAGAGCACAGGCAGTGTTTGAAAATTTTGCACTGATTTTTTTTCATATCATTAAATTTTATTGTACTTAAAACTTTTTTCTTGAAAAACACAGGTTATATTTTTGAACTGGAACTTTTAAGGAATTACACATAATTGTGACATTTAGGAGTTCAACTGTGACGTTATAGGATCTAATCAAAACTGCTTTGAATTGATGCTGTCCTTTCATGATTTAACTAGTAAAATGATTTAGTTTCATTCTACTATTATCGTGAGTCTTTTTTTGTAAACATGTTGTCCAATATCTACCTCACAAGAGTTATGTTTTTATTGAAAAAAATTCTAGCCTTTCTGTTAGAAGTAAGGCTCTGCCGAAGCATTTACATTAGCCAATCTAGAAAGTAAGTTTCTATATTGGAAAAACCATCAAAGAATCAGACACCAGATCTCCAGGTGGCCAGCTGATAGTTTGTTCCATAAATTGCTACTTCTTCTCTCTGAGAGACAACTGGACAGTGATAATAACCAAAGATGTTTTAGCAACTCACCCTCAGCAAAATTCCCTGACAATGGCCTGGTCACTGATACCTTTTTTTACTTCTCACTAATCACTCTGTAGGTAGTTCCAGCTTCCAGACATATATAAAAAGGTGGATTAAATACAATGATACTCATTGCTCTCTATGAGCTACTCAGACTAGCATCTTTCCACTATTTGGCTAATGGATTATGGTATTGAATTTAACAAATATCAATAAAGAATGATTGTTGACAGACTAAATTATTATATAAGTTCTTTTTTTTTTGAGAGTCCATACACTCCTATGATCAATTTTTTGGGAGAGGTGTGTTTGATAGTTGGAACAAAAGCCTTATTACTTATATCCTGATCTAAGCACTCAGAACTAGGATTTTTTTTTTTTTTCAAAATCAAAAGAAAGCATCAACTTTAGATTTGGCTGGGTTGATCTAAGGGTCTACTAAGCTTTCTCGGTTGGTAGTGAAGGTAGCATTTTGAATCTCTGCTCACTTCCACAGACATGGACTGTTGCCCTTCAGTTATACTTCAGTCCCAAACAAAGGCAGAGTGACACAGAGAGCAAACCTAGAAGATCATAACATGTCTTTGAGGATGTTGCACAGATAAAAGTAATACTGGAGACTGTGCCAAATGGTAAACTGGGATTCGAAGTGTCTTGGTCTGTCCTAAGCCTTGGGGGAAAGAACCCTGAATCTTCAGTTCCATTAGTTCTGAAGCAAATCAGCCTCTGATATGAGGCCAATGGTGTGCCAAAGGTTCTGGGATTTGTCCAGAGAATTAATCTTTATACGAACTTGCTTTCCGCATATGAAGGAGCACTCTGTGAACATTAACAACTGCTAATATTCCTATGAGAAATTAAATATACATTTCAGAGTATGCGGTAGGACCTCTTAGCAGTGTCCATTGCTCCTTCACCTACCTACTCCCAGTTCTCTAGCAATCCTCTCTCATTCTAGTAGCTGTTACTCTTGTTTCACTGTGTGCTGGTATTCAATGGATGAGCTTAGCGTATTGTCGTTATTTTTGTAGTAGTAGTTGTTATATCCACTGTCACCATAACAATAGCAATAAAGGAAGAGCTTTCACTTATTAAATGTTCATGACGTGTCAAGGATTCTTTGAGGTCACTAGTGTCATCCCGGAAGATCACTAAGGAACATGTGTCTCCATACTCTTTTCTGTTTAATCAACTCTGTTAGATAAATGATTATCAAGTTGAGCTTACTGTCTCTAACAGTAAAGCTAGAGTCATGATTTTTGTGTTGTTTGAACTGTTGTTGACCCAATAGCTTCTTTACATGGGCATAGTGCTATTAAACAAAGTTGTTTGAGAAAATGCTTAAATGATACAACTATATCTTTTCCAGGACTCATGCACTGAATTTCGAGCATTGATGAAAAATGGGAAACTTTTGTGTTCCCATGGCAAGAAACATTCTGAAATCCTCAATGACATTGCTTTCCAAAATAAATGCATGTCATGCAAAATGATACTGTGAGTAAAATACTTTTGCTTCTGCAGGTTCAAATGACCAACTAGTCTCTGAAATAATGAGGGTATGGTCCATTTAATTTCCTCTTTCAATCCAATTTTTTTTAAACCTAAAAAAGTAAATATACATGCTGAGCAGGCCATTGTGACACCTTCTATCAGATAAAACTTGATCATTGCCACCAACTTAGATTTTAATGGGTTTTCCAATGCCTTTCAAGGAGCCTCATGCTAGTACCTTAACCAGCACTCTCGTCTTGTGGGGATGTGGTTCCACGTTCCACTTCCTGCTTCTAGATTAAAACAAAACAAAACAAAACTTATGAAAGTTAAATTCCATGGTCCTGTTAAGACTTGACTCAGCTGTAGATGAGAGGCAAAGAAGATTCCCCAAGAAGTAACCAGACTTGCCTGGTGACTTGCCAGACAGTAGAAAGATTTATGCAGAACGCACTTAGACTCTTGGGGTGCCGCGGGAGAATCTGCTGGGATTACACAAGGGTGCGGTAGACTAGAGATCTGACTGCAGCTTTCACTGCCATGCTCAGAAAGAATTAGTATACTGGAAATTTACCAGGCTGTTGCTCAATGCTTCAGCAATGATACAATATTTTTAACTTGATTTCTTTCTCTTCAGTGGCAAGCAGAATACAGTAGATGGTTTGATTAATTAGTTTTAAATTCTCAAAACAGAGCATTACAGTTCTTTTTCAGGATTCTTTTTGGGTATTTTTCCTAGTGTCAGGGATTGAACCTAGGGCTTCCTGGACACTAGGCAAGGACTATACCACTGACACACAGCTGTAGACCTCTAATATATTTTTTAACAGGGACCCCGCTTCAATTTCTGACTATTACCAAGACTCCAGCACTGTTATCACTGTTACCAAATGGCTTACCCACTTAAGACAATTATCCTTTTAATTGGTTTTTCAAGTCAAGATGGTATATGTCAAGGTTTTAATGTGGCATATTCAGTAACATTGATATAACAAAGCATTGAAAGTGTGCTTTACTTCTACTGATGAGACTGAAGAAAGAAGAAAATTGGCAGGACAGGACTTAGGGTGAGGGGAGAACATGAGTTGGAGTGATGTTTTCTCATTCGCTTGAAATCGGCATGAGAACCAGATAACGTTTGATTTACAACAAAGATTCATTCTTGGCATATACATGAAGCCAAATCTATGAATAGAATAATATTATTGACAAATAATTTTAAACAGGAGCAAAGGTCTGTAAGCAGAACAAGATGGTTTATTACTGAAGTCTCTTGTTAAATTGTTATTATTTTCTTTTTGTAACTGTGTCATAAAATAGTTGGCTTAGCTGGGAAGAGGGGGATTATAGACTGCTAGAGAGTAACCTTCCCATTGATAATGGACTGTCTGATTCAGTGTAAATAGTCTTTTAAATGTTGCAAATGACACAGACAGTGTTTAGATTGGCAAGAGAGTCTTCTTGCGTAGGAAATATTTGATGTCTGATATGTCTAAACACTAAGTTTCTTGCCTCTTCTAGTCCATATTTGAGACTTTTTTCCTTCATTGTGTGGATAGCTGAACAATTTTGGTCATCAGTAAAGGCTCTATTTTTCACTCTGGCATGTCAAAGTAGGCTCAAGAAAACAAAATGAACTCTACCATGTAAGTTTTTATTCCTAAAAGTTGGCAAGCAGTTCTAACTTCAAATTATATTATTGCTTTCTCTTGCTCAGGGAATTAGAAGCAACATTCAAGAAGAGGGCAAGGCATTTGTCAAGAGCCACCAGGGCCACTGTCCCAGCAAAGGTGAGACAATCTGGAGTCAACCAATTATGTTTGCTTCGGAGAGGATGCTGGACTCTATTTAGAATTATCTGTTTGTTTCCTAATTATGTGTTGTGAAGCCAACCACTTAGAAGGGTGGGAATGTGGCTTAGTCCAGGGGTGGGCTAAGTATCTGGTACAGCTTGTCCACAGGCCCAGCCCATGACCCATCTCTGAAAACACTGTCAGGTGCCGAGAGGTGGAGCAAGTCAGGTGGGTGAGCTTTCTGGGACTGTTTCTCTCACCTCCTGTTTGTCCAGTTCCTGTAAGAACATTTCTTGGAAGATAGAGATAATGCCACATTTCAGAACTCTTACCGTCTATGCAATTTTGGCAGTCTGTGTATCCCTGGGTGTCATTATTTTATCAACTAAATTTTTAAAAGCTAGCCATGGTGTTTAACCACATATATGGGCAGGCATTAGATCATTCTCTTTACCTTATCTTTTTCTGCTTTATTCCTTCTGATTTCTCTTGTATAACACCTGGAATGTTCATGTTGAGATTCAAGTTAACATTTTGCATGAGTTAGGTGTCCAGTGGTTAAAAGAAAAACGACTCATAAAACAACAGGGGAGAAAACAGACAATGAACGGATAAGGAGCATCGCACAGCCATTTCACTAGATCACTATATTTTATTATTTTAAAGAAATCTTTAAAATAAAATTTAAAAATATTACAAAATTAAAATAAAAACATTTCCACATAAATGAAAATGTCTGTCTTCCAGAACTTTGGCTATTACCACAAACCTGCCAATCACATCACGTCCAGATCCCCTATGCTATGTCTTACTTAGCTTCTTCGTTCTCTTCCTCCTCCTTTGACCCTGTTGTATAATTAAAATGATCAGTCAAGGTAGACACACCCTAATTACTCCTAGCATCCATGGTCTAGCTCTGCTACCATCTTTCTTGGCAGTGCAGCCCAGGAATGTCTGAGAACTTCAGCCTCCACCATAAACATAGTTGACTAAATTCTTCTCCTGGGCTCAGTCAGTCTCACTTTTAAAGCATTACCAGGTCAGCCACTCAACCTGCCAATACCTGCAAATCCTTTGTTCATAATTAAAGGGACCACCATTTAAGCTAGGAAGACTGGAAGGGTTTGGTTGTTACTTTGAAATCCAAGTTTCTCTTCTGAGACAAGGCCACTCTGCAAGAGCCTTTCTTGTTCCTGTTGTCTCCTTAGTTAAAACTCCAATGTCAACTAACAGTGTTCAAAAATATAAAACACAAGTAAATGAAAAAATATAAATATATATATTCACATACAAGCCACATACATTGGCATACAAATATAAAAACTACTAGTACCTGTATGTTTACATCTGTAAAATGAAATTTTCTAAATTTTAAGTGGGAATCTTAAGATTATAAAATGATGGTATTCTGTCTGCAATATTAATTCTCCTACCTTGATTATTAGGCTTGCAAATAACAGCTACTTGCATTTTCATAGCAGATATATCAGCCACTACAAATCATATAAAGCAAGATTTCAAAATTTAATTCAATCAAAAAAAGAGAAAGTGGAGCAAATATAAACTTTAGGGAATAATAACAACCATTCACCTCTGTAGCATATTGTATACTATGTAGAGTTTTTAAAACATGAATGATGAAAATGAAGACTATGAGTTTAATGTATAGGGAAAAATAAAATGTTCTTGTGTGTATACCGTTGTTCATTCTGGCTAGAAGATAATTGAAGTAGTTAGTTAAAATTAATTCAAAAATACCTAAACAATCATGTTAAAACTATAAAGGAAATAATAAGAAGAAACAAACGTAATTTCACTACAAATAAATTATTTTTTAAAATAAAGATTTTAGTATTTGGAGATTTAGCTGACAAAATATAAATAGAAGATTACGAAAGCAAATTAATTCTTGAATTATACAGGAATAAAAATAATGGAAAAAAAAGGAGAAAACTGCATCAAAACTTGAAAGACTTAGAGTCTTTCTGGAACAAGAGATGTAAAATAGGAATGCCAGACAAAAACAAAAAAAAAAAAAAAGAAAAGAAAGAAATATTCTTGGAAGTACTGTGACCTCCAATGTCTCATGAAAAGGCCTCTGACTTTCACGTTTACCTGCATTTACACATACATACACACACATCATATAACATCTCAGACATACATCACATCTGAAACACAGAAAATTAATAATAATTAAACACACAAATAACATTCAAGCCAGATGTAAGTCAACTAAAGGGCTTGAATCAGAAGGGACTCAGAGGGGCTGGAGAGATGGCTCAGTGGTTCTATTCCCCAAACCCAGTGGTTCACAACATTTGTAACTCCATTTCCAGGGGATCCAATATGCTCTTTTGGTTCTGTGGGTACCATTCATCCACATGATGCACAGATAAACATGCAGGCAAAACATTCATTCACATACAATAAAATAAACTACCTTCCAAAAAGTAGAAAGGCAATCAAAGCGAAGTCCAGGCACGGGACAATCTACAGGGCACTAATAGGAAAAAAAAAAAAAAAGCCCCAGTCTTCCACAGACTCTCAGAAAAGAAAGGACCGTTTCCCACCTCATTCTACAAGGTCAGCATTACTTTTAAAAATATTCAAAAGAAACAATTATAAACAGGAAGCTACTGACATGTTCAATGAAAATCAGGAAATCCTAACAAAATTGTATCAAGTGTCATCCACAAGCTTAGAAAGATTACAACAACCAGCAAGACGAAGCTAGTAAACACTCAAAGTTCACTTTACAGCAACAAAAAACTATTAGCTAGTCTATCATACCGTAGTGATAGACTATAAGACAAAAGCACGTAATAGACGTTGAAAGAGGGTTAGCAAAATCCAGCAGCTGAGAAAATAACTGTGTAAATAAAGGTTTACCGATGGAGAACAACTATTAAAAAAAAAAACAGTTGGCACCATGTTTAGAGATCAAAGAATAAATACTTTGTCCTTATAATTAAAGAGAGAAAAGAGTGGTTTATTCTTAATATTTTAATCAACATTGAGCTGGAACCTCTAGTCACTGTTAGACAAATTTATTTAAATAAATACACAGTTGTCAAAGAAAAAAACATATCTGTAACATATCTGCAGAATTGTGGTATAATAATATATGCATGTAAATTACAAAGTTCCCAAGGGGGAAAAACTGTTAGAACTAGTGAATGTGTGTAAAATTGAATCAATGTACAGGCTTATTTATAAAACCCAATTCTACTTACAATTAATTAGCAATTCAAGAAATAAATAATTAATTTAATTAATTGTAACATAAAATGTGTAAAGAGAAGTGTTTGGCTTATACTACAAAACATTGCAAAAAGAAATGGCAGATTTAAACACAGTCGTGTATTAGATGGACTCAGGAACTATGGGGCTCTACAAGACTATAATAAAGCTTAAAACCCCACTGTCTAGGGACCACATAGTCACCCTAGCATTGCAGCTCAGGATTATATTCATCCGTTTGTAGTGATACTGAGATAAACAAGCTTACTGCACTGCCAGCCATGTAAAGGTACGCACTGCACAGTAGTTGCTGAATGTTGCTAGTTTACATATTTAATATGCTTTCCATTTATTCCAGAAGTAACTCCACTTACAAAAACAGTTTAATGTAAAAGAGTGGCATGTGTCACAAGCCACACACTCATACATTTAATTCATTGTGTCTCTTGATTATATCATTTTATTTGCTTGTTTTTTTGTGTGTTTTTTCTTTTATTGAATTTTTTATTTTTTTTTACAGTTTATTCACTTTGTATCCCAGCTGTAGCCCCCTCCCTTATTCCCTCCCAACCCCATCCTCCCTCCCTCATCTCCTTCCATGCCCCTCTCCAAGTCCACTGATAGGGGAGGTCCTCCTCTTCCACCTGACCCTAGTTTATCAGATCTCATCAGGATTGGTTGCATTGTCCTCCTCTGTGGCCTAGCAAGGCTGTTTCCCTCCCAGGCAGAGGTGATCAAAAGAGCCACCCACTGAGTTCATGACAGAGACAGTCCCTGTTCCCATTAATAGGAAACCCACTTGGATACTGAGCTGCCATGGGCTATACCTGAGCAGAGGTTCTAGGTTATCCCTATGAATGGTCCTTGGTTGGAGTATGTCTCAGAAAAGACTCCTGGGCCCAGATTTTTTTGTTCTGTTACTCTCCTTGTGGAGCTCCTATTCCCTCCAGGTCTTTCTCTCTCCCCCTTCTTTCATAAGATTCCCTGCACTCTGCCCAAAGTTGGTTATGAGTCTCAGCATCTGCTTTGATACACTGCTGGGTAGAGTCTTTCAGCGACCTTCTGTGATAGATTCCTGTCCTGTTCCATTTTCTCCTTCTTCCAATGTCCATCCCATTTGTCTTTCTGAGTGAGGATTGATGAACTTACTCAGGGTCCTCCTCCTTCGCTTCTTTAGGTGTGCAGATTTTCATATGTTTATCCTATACTATATATCTAATATCCACTTATAAGTGAGTATATACTGTGTGTATCTTTCTTCTGATACCTCACTTAGGATGATCTTTCCTAGGTCCCACCATTTGCCTGCAAATTTCATGATTTCCATGTTTTTAATTGCTGAGTAGTAATCCATTGTGTAAATGTACCAAAATTTCTGTATCCATTCCTCCGTTGAGGGACATCTGGGTTGTTTCCAGGTTCTGGCTATTACGAATACACTGTTGTCAGAACAAAATGACAGCCTACAGACTGGGAAAGGATCTTCACCAACCCTATGTCTGACAGAGGGCTAATATCCAGAATATATAAAAAACTAAAGAAGTTAAACTGCAACAAATCAAGTAATCCAATTAAAAAATCAGGTACAGAGCTAAATAGAGAATTCTCTGTAGAGGAATGTAAAATGGCAGAGAAACACTTAAAGAAATGCTTAATGTCCTTAGCCATCAAAGAGATGCAAATCAAAATGACCCTGAGATTTCACCTTACACCCATCAGAATGGCTAAGATCAAAAACTCAAGTGACAGTGCAT